GTTAAAATTATGTTTATGCTTATTGGATAACCACAGCTGCCAATCATTCAGGTTGATGTTTCAAAATTTGCGACAGATATTAGTGATGATTTAATGTCAAGGCCAAAATTGATCAAGAAAGAGAGGGTAAGTGTCCCGGCCTTTTTTCTTTCAACTTTCCTGTTTCCAATGTTCTTGTTCTTTAGAATCCGCCTGTTAGTAGTCCATATCCAAAACCAGGATGGTCATATTCGAATCTTATTGCATTAGCCTTGAAAAACAGCGACTGGACAGCTGACTGTGTCGGAGATTTATGCGTTCATGCTGTGAGTGAAATTTTGTGCCTGCTGGTTCATGCACGCTTATGTTTTGCTTGTGAGCTTTGCGATTGTTATTGCCTTAACTCTCCAAGCTCAGTTTGGTCCTTTTAGCGAACATTTCCCCTATTTTCGAACTGCACCAAATGGATGGAAAAATTCTGTTCGTCACAATCTCTCTTTGAATAAGTGTTTTTGCAAAGTTGATGTGAGTTTTGAGCTTTCTATTTCTTTTATGGCTGTATTATTGTCTGTCGAGACTTAGGGGTGCGTTCATATTTTGCGGTAGGGTTTTGAGCGTCTATTATCGTTTTAAGCGTTTCTAAGTCTCTGAGCTACTGCGAAACTATAGCTACCGATCCAGTGTTTTGTGAATCCGCCGATGCTTTGAACGTCCGCCAGTGATTTCAGCGAAAATCGATAGCTATGCTTTCCCAGTCGCTCGAAACGCTGACAGACGCTTAAAACGTTGCCGCAAAGTATGAATGCACTCTGGTGACTACCATCGTTATCATCTTGAAGGTAGACGAAGACGCCCCTCTTGTCCATCAAACTCGAAAATCATGTCTTTGGATGATAAATCCGGAGCGCATACATAAAGTCGAACATGATATTCGGAAATGGCGCGAACGAAACCCGGATTCGGTCACGGAGGGAATGGCTCGACCAGGTATGTTGTTGCATAATGTCGTGTATTTTAACCGCGAATACGTTTGAAAGTAAAATTTTCAGAGGATCTACAAGCAATAGAGGAGGGTACTAAAGGTCTACCTATGACAAGGAACTCAAAACAAGTGTTGAAATCTGTTCCCGTTCATAGGAGCTTTCGAAGAGAAGTGAGTTAAGATTGTGAAAAGTTGTTTTCCTATCTTACATATTCTATTCAGTTATTAGTATACCAGTAGTGTTCCCGTCAGAGCTCCTATACCACTCCTCAAAGCAGGCAGACAGGCATACTTGGCGAATTGTATACAGTAGGATTTGTCTGTTCCTCATCATAAAGCTGCTTATCTATGGAAATGGCGGAGGCTTTTCTCTGCCAATTCGCAGCTTCACATGAGTTTACCTGAACTATGAGAAAGTGCGAAATGCCCCTCCCCAGCGCCCAGATTAGTAGCTAGGAGAGGGCAGAAGCTAAATGGACAAAGCTGCTATAGGGTAGGAGTGACACGAATATTTTCTCAGAGCTCTTCCCTCCTTGAAAAGTTTGGGCACTATTCATTTTGTGTGGTTTGCTTCCGAATCAGCGGGAAAGGGCTAGATGCATGAATGTCGAATTCGGAGGTCTGTGTAACCACCGAATGCCCGTAACTCTGATCCTTCAAACCGGTCTAGATCTTTTTACGAAATCCGTGGAGTAGAGGTTGCTCACGCAAAACTGGCTCAATGGCAACACGAAATCACCTTTTTGCCTCAAAGGATTTGGTTCACCCATGCCAAAGCTTCTTTCCCATTAGGTTAAGGGAAAATCCTCATCTACTTCGCGACAGTTCTAGATTTTCACTGAGAGGCCTCTGAATGCCCTTGCCCCTGAACCGACTTGCACCAGAAATCAACTTCAAGGTTTTGCTTTTGTTGATTTTCTCGACATAAAATTCATTTAATCCGCTTCGTCCTTCTCATTCGGTAAGAGGAAATGTCTAGACTGTGTAAAGTCCGTTTCACATCCTTCTTCAGGTGTCGTATTTGAATCACGCTAATGACCAGTACATTGATGAGGATGCAATTGCTGCTGAGGTTATTAGTTTTCTTTTCCCTTATTTATTTTCATTCACTCATTTTTATCAATGCCTTATATTGGTTATTTTTAGGACTTGTTTCACATTGTTAAGCAAGAGCTACGGTCTCAAGCAAAGGAAAGTGCTGACGAAATCGTCGTTAATCAGAACGTAAGTTATTCTAGAGTAGCACCTACCCTTTTTTCTTGGAGTTGAGGGGTAGGGCGGCAGCTGATTGAGTTTGCACTCTTACACTTTCCAGTTTGATTTTTTGGTCGTCCTATTTAGGGTTAAGGGGTGGGATCGAGCAGTAGGGAAGATCTACCAAGAACTATGTGGCTGCGTGAACTCTGCTATTGTCTCGCGTTGGACAGCGATTGCCAAAGCATCACAATGTGTATAGGCACAGAAGGCTAATCGAAGGGAACGCCCACATTATATCCCCTCTCCCCGTCCACCTTTAAGTGGTTGGAACAGCATATCTGTGAAGAGTTTGGATACTGTGAATAGAGTGCACAGGGGACAGCAGGTATGCACAGAAGACAGTAGACGGAATCAGAACATTGATGCGCTTCCAAATATCGAGTTCAAGCAGCCCGTAGAGCAGCAGCGAGACATGACCACGCCCATTTTTGTTCGTTCGTGCCCCTCCTTGCTGCAGTGTTCGCTTGAAGATCCTCCCTGATCACCCTCGAAATTGCAGATGTACGGAGAAGAGCGAAGCGACACCTTCCGCGGGTACTTTATAGGTAGAAATCCCTCCAAGTACAATGGCCGCTCGGCTCTGGTTGACGAAAACGTTGCGGTCGTCATAACCCGAAGGAGCGCCACCTTTACAAGTTGCTCCAGCCCTTTGAGCGAGGTTTAGTCTTGTTCGCGTTAGATGGGTATGGCTCCATTAGTTGTCGAAGCGGGGCAGCGACAGCAGTTGGTGGAGATCTGCCGAAATCGGTAAATGATAGCATTTGTTGTGCTTCTCGAAAAAAAAAGAAAAGGCCTGTCTTTTCGAACCAGCACCGTTCCGCGCTAAATTCCCATATCCGATAATAAGAACTGGTTTGCCATTACGTCCGCTGCATACCGTTTTGAACGCCCTGCATTGATTTTTGTATGAAACTCGATCTAATGATCTTGTTTAGAACATACTAGAATATTCTCTCGGCTTTGCTTTTCATATGGCAAGTTCGTTAGTATCTTCGATTCGCATTTTGATCATACCGCCCAGGACTTGCTATCGATTTCGGGCGCAGTTCGGCTTCGTGAGGGCGTTTTCTTGGTACACACCGATCACTGTCGATGCCTTCTGAGGACCTGTAAATTCCTTCAAGCTATGCAACAGCAGGAACTTATTTCCTTGACAAGAGAGTACAGGTGTCACCACGGTAGAACGTGACATTTGACAAGAACTAGCAAAAAACCTTGTGAAGATGCGGAAATGCCCCTCCCGATAGGAACAACTCCCAGTTTCGTTTTAGAAGCCTAACACCCCAATTTGTGGTCCCGGAAATTCCTCCTTCTTTACTTCTTTACTTATATTTTAACTCTGTGCGTGTCCTTGAATATTTCAAGGTGCTATACGCGGGTGATCTTTAGGATACGACTCAATTTTGAGATGTTCATTTTGGCTGAATTTCAGCTGTACATTCCCGATGTGAAACATGAAACAACTGACGATCGCCTTCATTCTTACTCGAAATCCACAGCTGTCGAAGAGTTTATGCAAACGACATTCCCGTCAACTGAGTCCATGCTCGAAACCAGTAGTGGTAGTGCTATAAAAGTAGGTTTTCACGAGTAGATCCGTGGTTGTGAAAATCATGCCTTCGCTAAAAACGTTTTTATCTAGTGTGTTTTTTACAGCGCCCTCGGTCTGACAGTTTCTATAGTCCTTCAAAAGAGATACCTGTAATGGATTTGTTGCCAAGTGCATTCGTTGACGCTTTTCTGTCGTTAACTCCTCCAAAGGCGAAGCAAGTTGAAAGGGATCGATCTGTTTCTCCAATCAGGTAGGTTAATGTTGAAAAGACCGGTACAGTTTGGTGACGGAATGGAAGGGGGTGAGCATTTTGCACTTTTGCTACTTCCCATCGGCATGTCAAGCCATCAAGTGGAGACGTGTGAAATCTTGTGAGGTCACGAAATGATATCAGATAAAGTTCACAGACCACTTGTCAGCTCATGGAAAGAACGCCTGTCAACTCTTGTAAGGCTGCGCTCATACCTTGCGGCAGCGACCACTAGCGTTTCGAGCGTGCACCAACGCAGCGACTCGGAAAGTATAGATATCGACCTAGTGGACGGTAGCATCTACCGGCGTCGGCACTGTCAAGAAGGAGAGAGAATGGGGAAGTAGGGTGGTAGCAGACAACTGGGTTAGGCGTCGTGAAATTGCGGCGTGTGCAGCCGCATCGTACACTGCTAAAGCACAGAATTATGCAATTTAATGTAAGACCTTGTGTAATAATGCCAAGCGG